GGTTCATACAATATTTATAATTTGATAAAAATAAATGAAAATAAATATAAACTTGATATTAAACAAAATATAAAAAATAACTCGAAAAGTATTATTAAATAGACAAATTAATTAAATGAAGCGGTATACTGTCCTTAAATTTTAGAAAATCATCAAATGGTTTTCATCAAGACCATTTCCAATAACTCACGGAGATGCCCAATTTCTTCTTTTGTTAAGAAGTTTCAGTCCTTCAGCAAAGAGCAACAAAAATAAGATTACAATTAATAGAAAAAAAAAACAAAAAAGCATTAAACATCTTCGATTTTGTTTATAGTGATCGAAAATACGCGTAAAGACTAAATAAATAAAATGTTCTTTTGGAATACCAACAAACGAGCGCGGTAGAGCACGGAATGCTGCAGTCAGAATTGATCATCAAATCTTCTTTACTATTCGATTACTATAACGGATATTCGCGCGTTTCGTTTAGAGTGTTGTTAAGTAAGAATTCTGAAGCCCCCTGACATATCAAATCGCCGTACTCCTTTTGAGTACAATAAAAGCACAATGGCAGCACGGAGTGCTGCAGTGTGCTCACCGGAAGGTTAAACAAATATGTTGAGTATTTCAGAATTTCCAAGGCTACGTACATGATAGGGTCGTTTCAGAAAAAAAAATGCCATTTTCACAAAGATTTTTTTTTTCATTTAGGTCCAACTGTGATGTCATGAGCAAGCATAGGTCTTTGTGGAGGAAAAGAAGAAGAAGACTTCGCCGCTTTCTTTCACCTACATAAGGCAATCAGAGCACAGTGGATTTTTTGCACAGATATTTATTGATCGGCGCGGTGTGGATTTTGGAATAGCGGCTTCTGTTGAAGTGTGATGATGTGATAAATTTCGAGGAAAAGAGGATTCTTTTTGCGAATCCACTCTGACCTCCTCCGACTCAAATTTCGTCGAATGAGAAAGGAAAGAGATTCAGAAAGGTTTAAATTTAAGTAGTAGATTTTTACTACTTTAGATTCATAATATTACATGATGTTATTAGGAAAGCGTTGGCAGTGAAGTTTTGGGTTTTGCTTTCCGCGACGCAGGGGTGGGGCAGCGGCCGTGGAGCCTGCCGGAGCCGGAGGCGGACGTGTCCACCACGTGGTTGACTCTCATAGATATGGGCGACCCTGACACGTACATTTGGGGGAGGGGACATCAAAAAGACGCCATAAGAGACGATGTCGGTGACGGCGGTTAGGGTAGTAGCCGCAACGACTGTGCTTATGGATCTCTTCGTTAGATATGAGGTGCAAGCTCGCGGGAAATTCCTACACATAAGACCTACATAAGGACTTATATACAGCAAACTCTATATATTCCTTTCTTATTTTCCCACGCTTTTCTTTTTTACGTTTTGACTAATGAAGGACGTTTCTGTGAAGCGTGTTATCGTTTCTCAGTCTTAATATTATTAAGCGTATAATGATCGTCGTTATACGTTGAACGAAACTGTCTTCAGTAAAAAGAAAATATCAGAGTGAAACTCCTGGATATTATGAAAACGTTAGGGGAGGCGAGGGGGCGGGGGGTCCGGAGCCACTCACACGCCCACGAAAGCGCCTTCAGTGAAGCCCAGCGTCCTTCCTCCGCCTGCCCAGGAAAGGGCAACCCGCGCATGCGCTAACAAGGAAAGATTGATTTGTGATTCTGGGCGCGTCAACTGCTGAGGTCATTAGTCCCGTAACTGCAATCCATGATTTTGATCGACAGGGGTCAGTGAACTTTCCCCGCTGAATGGCAAAACCCCGCGCCGACATGCCCGTCGGCTGGCGAGGGATTTCCCCAACCAGGGATCCCCCACCGGCGGGGCACCGCCCCAGCCGGAACGAGCTCTAAGCTCCCGACTGGTCTTCTGGCTTGTGGTTGGAAGGAAGGAAGTGTAAGGAAGTAAAGGGTGAGGATAGGGTAAGGAAGAGGAAGGAATAAACGCGCGCGGTCCGTGGCCCGTTTGTTAGGGTACTGCTCCAGCATTCGCCTGGTGTCGATCGGAGAAACCACCGGAAACTACCGATCAGATCACCCATCCGCTATAATTCCCCTCCAGAGATCGGCCCAGCTATGTAGCAAGTGCCGCCGGGACTCGAACCGCAGGACCTCCGGGTCAGAGGCTCCGCCGGCCTAGGCGCGAGGCGGAGGCGCGGGCCTGGGCGTTACGTGTAGCAGCTGGCGGCGCTCGTCGCCCTTCCGTCCCCCTTTCCGCCGCCCGCCTTCTCTTACGGTAACCCATTACGTTCCGCACGCACTTTTCCTGCGGCGCGGCGCGGGCGGCGCGCGCCGCTGTGCGCCGTGCGGCCGGGGCGCCAAGGCTCAAAGTCGCGTGCGCGCCGAGCGCTCAGCGAGATACTTTCCTCGCGGTCACTGGCCGCTGCTGCCCCACTTCCCCACAGCGGAGGCCACGGCCACGGCCCCTCGCGGCCGCCGCGCCCCTCCCCGCCTCGCACGCCGCTCCTCCGCAATCGGTTACATCGATACGTCGAGGACAATCGAGTTATATCGGTTGGCGTTCGGCTGTTCAAAAGGGCTTGGTGCGCTTCCCGAATTGCGGGGCCTCAAATCGTGATGTAATGCACTCACCTGAACCTCACATTTCATTTTGAAAAAAAAGTTAGCTTGCAAACTTTGACGAGAAAGCACTACAAGAAATAAAATAAATAAATATATGTTTAATAATAACAATGACGGGAAAATATGGGCTTGTACACACTGCACCCTAGGGCCTCGCCATGACCCTCGCTTCTCAGGTAAGAGCCTTATAACAAGACTACATTTGGAAAATACAATGCCACAGCAGAGAAAAAGACGAAGAAATCATATTAAACTTACTCTGAAGGAAACATTCACATTAAAGAAAAATTAAGCATTTTACGAGTAGATTAAAGGACGGAAAAGAATGAATTAACGCGACTAGTATCTTTCATTAAACCACTAAATATTTTGTGCACTTCTATTGCAAAGCTCTTACAAAAGCATCTTACAGAACTTCGCATATTATTACTTAGATTTAAAAATAGTCTGCCAAATAAGATTTCTTGGATTGGACACCTCCTGAAGAACTAGTGAGAAAGCTGGGCGAAACGAAACCTTTTCACCTTCTTTTCAGTGTCATTACTTAACAATTATTCAGATTTTTTAAAAGTCCTTGACACTATGCAAAAATCTAAAATTAAGGGATAAATTGCAGTGAGAAAGGAATTTCTAGGTCTCATATGCTGTGGAACATGTTTGAAAATAAATATGAAGCTTTGCAATTATCAACAGATTTTACTGAAAATCCGAAATTGTGGTTAGGCGGAAGACCACGCCCTATGGCCTGAGCCTCGCCATTAATAAAGACATTATTATTATTATTATTATTATTATTATTATTATTATTATCGAGGTGATTATACCTGAGGTGATTTTAGTTATTTTTCTCCCTATAGAACAGTACCGAGAGGAAAAGCAAAACAAAAATTAAAAACCGACCGATCGTTAAAATATCACGGCAGAATATGATGATATTGCTACAAATCTGACGGCACAATTCGATAGTTTTCGTGGAATCGTAAAATTTGGAAATGCAGTAGTTACATTGAGTTTGATGTTAGGAGACGCGTTTGAAGATTCGGGGATATGCAAAATACAGCATCACCATAAGGGGGGGTAGCCTTGATTGTGTATGGTGGGCCCTTTTCTGTGATAAGTGGGTGTGTTTTTAAAAGAAGCGTTATTTGTTCCTAATCAACTTTGAATAGCCCTCTCCCGATTAGATAAAAAAGGGATTGTTAATGTGTGTTTGTCACAGCAATTTCAAGGGAAACATTTATAATAAAGAAATTCTTAAAATTAAACAAAAAATCCGCATTTCGTAAATAATGTACTTTTATTCATTATGAATGCAAAAGTTTAATTTTGCCCCGTGGTTTTTGACTCGTCACCCCTAATCCACAGCCCAAGCAGGCAATTTGTTGTGAGTCGGGGCCGGGCATTGCCCCCGTGCAAGTGAAACCTATCCAGGCCAGGACGCGCGCGAGGAAACCGTATCGTGGCCTTCTCTCCTCCTCCTCCCACCCCGACGCACACAATACGTGTTTAGGTGGGAGCGCTTGGCTGCGCAACTAGTGAAGTTGCCGAGGAGCAAAAGCGGGCTTCCGTCCTCACCTTCCGCGCGCTGCACACAATCAATCAAAATCCACACACGTACTCCAAACTCTCAACACATATTTAAAAATAAAAAATAAAAAAAAACCTTAAATAACCTTCATTTAAACGAAAAAAAGACAGGTTCGAAACCTTCGATGGCCGAGGAAGCTACAGCATGTCCCTAGTCTTTCATGTATCTGTGTTGTCGTGCCACAGGCCGAGGAGCAAGGGTTTGTAATGTAAAAAATATTAATATGTGTTCCTATGAAGGACCCCGGTGGTGGCTACACTATGTTGGGTACCCGGCGCGGATAGTCCAAATCGACATCCACGTGAAGCTGGGAAAATCGCCAGGAGGAGAACAAATACAGGTGCGAAACCGAAAATAAAACAGTCTAAATCCGGTTGAAATCGTGGAATTTTAACCCCCC